TCACTTTTGGCAAGTATTCTTCTCTCGGAAATAAAAACCGTTCGGTTAAACAAAGTTAACAACTTGACGTTAATTCAGAGTGCACCGGGCGCACGAAATGAACGTGTATGAAATGAACGCGGTCTGCGGTTTATGCTCTGATAATAAAATTATTCGATTCTCCATAAAGCTAAGCACGCATTCGGACGCTGTCGGGCAGAACGGCACGCGCATATCCTTGATATTTAAATTAAGTCGGATATTCGCGCGCTCTCTGTCTAGGCTCGCATATTCTCCAAAATGATCGAACTATTATTCGTAGAGCAGAGGATAGAAGAGGAAGGAAGTCGACGCGCTATGTACGCGAAATGCTCGTTTGGTTATCTAATTCTGCTGGAAGTTAGGCGCCTATCGCTCCGCGCGCATGCAAAGTGCATTCGAGAGGGTACGCTGCGGTTAGTTACAAACGGACGGCAGATCCATCGCTGATTCGGAGCAGATTTGTTGGGGTAACAATGTACGTACATATCCGCGCAAGTGGCGCGCTCCTCTTCGTTGTTGGGGTGTGTCTGTGTATATGGAGTACCGAAAATTCCTTTACGTTAAACTATGCCGCTGTCTGCTGACTTACGATTAGAGTAAATTCCGGAAATGCAAAGAATATTTCGCGTTTCGGCAAGACGAGTCTGTCAATTTTGGGTCTTAAGCTAATTAAGGTAATTAATACTCCCATCCGAATGTTACAACACGAAGAAACGTGAGATATTTTTATTTCTCAGAAAAAGACACGTATCTGCAGCTCGATATAAAATTAAGAATTTGTCATTTATCGAAATTTGATTGAATTTAATTTAAAACACTTTATAGATATACACCTTAAAATTCAGGATATCGGAAATTAGATTATAAAATACAGATTACAGACTTATTCAATTATCGCAGAATATATGTATAACTTTACCTGTGATGTGTTTCCTAGTACCTAGGAAAAATATGTGAATACATAGTTTTACAAAAATTGCAACGCGTTAATGCTTCCGAAAAAAATAGAAGTAATTTATTATGCAATAAATGCAAGCTATAATGAAATTATCATTTCTCAGAAAAAGACATGTATCTGCGGCTCGATTAAATTAAGGATTTGCCATTTATCGAAGTTTGCTAGAATTTAATTTAAAACACTTTATAGATATACATCCTAAAATCTAAAATTGGATTATAAAATAGAAATTATATAGGCTTATTCAATTATCGCAGAATATATGTATAATTTTATCTGTGATGTGTTTCCTAGTACCTAGGAAAAATATGTGAATACATAGTTTTACAAAAATTGCAACGCGTTAATGCTTCCGAAAAAAATAGAAGTAATTTATTATGCAATAAATGCAAGCTATAATGAAATTATCATTTCTCAGAAAAAGACATGTATCTGCGGCTCGATTAAATTAAGGGTTTGCCATTTATCGAAGTTTGCTAGAATTTAATTTAAAACACTTTATAGATATACATCCTAAAATCTAAAATTGGATTATAAAATAAAAATTATATAGGCTTATTCAATTATCGCAGAATATATGTATAATTTTACCTGTGATGTGTTTCCTGATACCTAGAAAAAATATGTGAATATACAGCCTTACAAAAATTGCAACGCGTTAATGCTTCCGGAAAAAATAGAAATAATTTATTATGCAATAAATGCAAGTTTTATAACGAAATTTTTATTTCTCAAAAAAGACATGTATCTGCCGCTCGATTAAATTAAGGATTTGTCATTTATCAAAATTTGATAGAATTTAATTTAAAACACTTTATAGATATACATCCTAAAATTCAGATAATCCAAAATTAAATTATAAAATAGAGATTATAACCTTATTCAATTATCACAGAATATATGTATTTATCTGTGATGTGTTCCTAGTACCTAGGAAAAATATGTGAATACACAGCTTTATAAAAATTGCAACACGTTAATGCTACCGAAAAAAATAAAAGTAATTTATTATGCAATAAATGCAAGTTATCGTAACGAAATTTTCATTTCTCGAAAAAGATACGTATCTGCCGTTTGATTAAATTAAAAGTTTGTCATTTATCGAAATTTGATAGAATTTAATTTAAAATACTTTATAGATATACATGCTATAATTCAGATTATTGAAAATTAGATTATAAGATAAAGATTATAGGCTTATTCAATTATCGCAGAATATATGTACAACTTTAGCTGTAATGTGTTTCCTAGTATGTAGGAAAAATATGTGAATATACAGCTTTCTAAAAATTACAACGCGTTAATACTTCCGACAAAATAGAAGTAATTTGTTGATATTATTATTTCTGTCAGAATGCGTAAGCCATACGCATTAAAATAAGTAAATATAGTAATGCCCAAAGTTGCAAAGCATACAGAAATTCACATACAAATAATGCGTGAAAAAACTATTTACTATAATGGTCTACGTGTTTCAATTATATTAATATGCATATTCAATATATGAGAATAAATGAGAAAAAATTAATTTTAAAACATATTTCTAAAATATCAAATTTTATCATTTCATATAACACTAAATAACAGATTTAACACAAACATACACATGAAAACCTAAATGCAATTTATAATATTTTATTGTCAACGAATTAAATTAATATGCAAATTATATTAATATGGAAATTGTGTTTATATTTAATCAATTTCAGCTAGAAAATAATGTATAAAAAGAAATTCTGCTATAATCTTTTTCTCATCAATTCATATTATCAATTTTGCTCTTCATTATTTATTCAAAATTGGTCAGGTTATTATAACAAATAATTTTCTGCAAATTAATTCTTTTTTTATATAGTTTAGAATATTAAAATTTTAGTAATCAATTTATTTTTATATATGTTTTAGTTAAATTCAATATATGCTTTTTGCTATCGGAATTGGAGAAATAAGCTACACATGTTTCAGATTATGTATATGATTAAAAGAGAAAATATATCTAGATTATATTATATATATATATATATATATATATATATATATATATAACTGATAATATAACTGATGATTATATATATATATATATATATATATATATATATATATATATATATATATATATATATAATTTAATTATATGGATTTTCATCAGACATAGTTTTCGATATCATTTGTATATATTCGTATTTATATGTATTCGAATAAAATTGTATTATGCAAATTCGGGCATTATTATACAGAAATAAATGGTATGTACATACATACAAAGTATATATGCAGATGACAGATAAATTCACTCACCAGGTTGCATTGGCATCGTGCTACATGCTGCACCTGGAACAATTTTCGTACAAATTGTAAATTACACATACACAAATCGCTTCTATATATATAAAGAATAAATATTTTCGTATACTTTTTCTATATTTTTAATTAAATATATAAAAATTATTTATATCTTAATTACAAAAAATTCATAATTATAATTTGATAAATATTTCTTAAAAAATAAAATTATAATTGATTTGATATTTCTATATATAAAAGGCATCATATATACATATGTATATATATATATATATATATCAATTTCATCATATATAAATATCAATTATAAAAGATAAGTAATTCTAACAACAAATATTCAAACTATAAATTTATATTAAACAAGTTTACTTACTAGCCAATGTTTGTCCAGCTTCGCGAGCTTCTGGAATTGAGAGCAGATCGAAGACACTTGCATATACGTCGACCGGAAAAGTAAAATTAATGTCATTTGTTCAACACATTCTGATCACGATTTTCGACACTCCCGACTTTCGGCATTCCCGGTTTTCGGCACTCCCGATTTTCAATTTGACTTTTAATATTTTCAATTTTTGACGCTTCCGGTTTTAAAAATTTTCGGCACTCCCGATTTTCGATTTGACTTTTAACATTTTCGATTTTCGACGTTTCCGGTTTAAAAAATTTTCGGCACTCCTGATTTCCGACTTTAAACATTCGCGATTTTCAATATTTCCGATTTTCGGCACTCCCGATATTCGTTTATGATCTTCATATTCACCAATTATTCTGACTCAGTTCCGCCATCGGCACAGCCTAAATTAACATGTAATAACAATTGTACAACTATTAAATATGAAGCGATTAATGTGAAATGGATGAAAGAAATTTCGTTATCCGCATTAAAATGCCATAGCGATAGATTACAAACATCGAGAGAGATTAATTACAATCACGTACATTACTTATTATCTTGTTATCACTGTCTATAGCAAACATACGCAATTTCGATGACACGTACATCACGCACCGCGTATTATAATAAATTACAAATTTTCAACGTCGAATATTCGCACCGAACCAGCGTGCACTGACAGATTGTCGAAGGTCGCGCTGTTGTATGTGTGTGTGTGTATGTGTGTGTGTATAAATGTGTCTCACATCGCGCCGGGCGACACGCATACATTCCCTCACATCGAGCAAAGGTAAACATATCCTTACGAGACCGCCACGATTACAATAGCGCATTCATCAATGTAGTATTCAGTCGTAAATTCACTCTCTCGATACTTCGAACTCGTAACATGTTCTCGTTATTATGTCTCGACGATATTCCTTCATTTATTTCACATTCTCGCTCTGCAAAGAGGAAGGAAAATATTAACTATATGAATGAATAATTATCTATACATAATGCACATTCAATTAATTTTTTAAATCTACATAAATATTGTACGTACACGCGCGTCAAAAATGAAGTCAGAGAAGAATTAAAGTATTTACCATAAAAGTGAATAAATTTTTACATATAAACATGTATAATTTTTTTTCGATTAAAACTTTTCGCTGTGAATATATTTATATTTTATAGTAATCAATATACAGAAATAACGATAGAATTAAGATAATAATTGTGCTCACGAATCATTAAAGTTAGATTAGTTTCCTCTGTTATGAATTCTCAAATTACTGTTACAAACATTGAAAATATGTGAATACCTATAATAATTCAGTCTACTTGAATCTGCAATCGAACTTTCCGATGCTGGTTTTCAACCACGAGTCGTTCTTCACGTATAAAATAGCGAAAAATATACGAAGTAATTTCGAGTGCTTGATGCTAACCTTGGCGCGAAACACCAACTGTAGTGTAGTCGACTGCGTTCGACCGCACTATCGATTTATATCGGCGGTCATATTGCGATTCCATATCGATACGTCGCGCTCCTATCTTCTTACTGAAACCTTTATCAAAATACATTTATTAATTTTATTATCGAAACATACACACATTATATACACTGCTGGCCATTAAAAATTGCATCACATATACACATACTATATACCGTACACACATTTATATCATATTATATATATTTATATATTATATATACATTATTTTATTTACATTATATTATATATATATTATATTAATATTATATATTATATTATATTAATATTATATATTATATTATATAATAATGCAATTTTAATGACCAGCAGTATATATATTTTACGGTATACAAATAAATAGAAATATTATATAAATATATTATATATAATTATATAAATAGAATAAATATATTTTGCATATAACATAAAGATCAAGAAGGAAAAATAGCTTTATATTATATTTATAGATTGTTGTGTGTGTGTGTGTGTGTTTTATATATGTCTCTACATAGTCATATCTCATCGTTCAATAAATTCTCAAGTATGGTTACAAACATTGAAAATGCATGGTCACTTACGATAATTCAGTATATACAGCATTGCAGTTGACACTTCCAATACTCGTTTCCGGTCGTGAGTCTCATTCTTTGCACAAAATCTTGAAAAATATTCGGAGCAATTTCGACACGTCTTGAAGCTGAACAATTTCACGCGAGTGGCACAGTGACAGTGATGTCAACGTTTAAATGTTTATTTGTATACCTTAGGACCAATTTCATCAAATCTCATTTAGATGAACATTTATTCCACGTCGTTGATTGGTTGGAACCAACGATTAGCAGGGTGGTCAAAAAACCCAAGGATTCATGTCTATGAATACTTTATTTCATGAATACTTTTGTCTATTAACTATCTTGCTAATTTTAACCATCGGTTCATCTAATCAGACTTGGTGAAATTGAACATCCACAGTTATACATCCATTGAATGCAATTTCGCAATAAAAACTTTGTATAGAAGGTATGATGAATTGTATATATATTATTACTATATGTAGATAAATGCAATAATGCCACGTCTGATATTCTCGATGACAAATAAAATCAATAGATTGAAATAAAAATTTTTCTATATAATTAATGTACTTCTTGTGTCATCTTTTAAAATAAATTATGCGAATTATTTTTTTATATCTCTGAATGTTATTATACACAAATTAAATCAATCTTAAAAAGTTATTAATCTCGCAATAAGTTATTTTTCCTTCTTGATCTTTATGTTATATGCAAAATATATTTATTCTATTTATATAATATTTCTATTTATATAATATTTATTCTATTTATATATTGATGTCATATCGCGCGTGTATAAAATTTATATTTTTCGAGAAAATAAAAGTTATACAATACGTGTGCTTATCTTTGAAAAAAAAAACGTAATATGCAACATGTCAGTGAATTGACTTTACGTCTCAATTCTGCAAGAATGCAGACATATTTCTTATTTCCATGAAGCATCCCTTGGAACTTTATGGAAAATAAGTTTGATACAACAGCTAGCAGAGTCTACCGCAAGTTGTACATCACGTAATGTTGTTGTAAAGACCAAACTTTAGCTATCTAGAGTTCCTTTGGCTACATTATAGAATGGAATTATAGGACATCAAATATTTCTTACTGCAATTAACGCCAGAAACAATTACTTGAGCATAAACTCCATCAAATGATGAAAAATAATATAAATGCATTTAGTATAATATAGTTAATATTTTTCACGACATAATTTGAAATAATTCTTAATAGCAAATTATGTTAATCGCTTTTATGTTAAAGAATTGCCTTACTTCGTTTTTTTCTCTAAAAAACTACTTTATTGGGAAACAGATATTTGGTAAAACTTCTAAACGCAAAATGTATTTCTTATCATGCGAAAAAAATGCATGTTTCACTGGAATAAATTTATCCAACTGCTTTACTATACTATGTTTAGTTTAAAAAAGTTTAAGCATAAAAATTACGAACGAAGCGTATATCAATCGATATTTTTACTTTTTCTTCAGGCACAACGACCTACCCTGGAACATACGGAAGTTTCTGAAGAACCAGCTAAGGGAGTTCAGGTTTGATGACCTGAGGGACACTCATCCTTGGTCACGAAGCGCCTGGAGCCACACAGATCTCAAGAGATTAAAGGAAGGCATGGTTGCAGCGCAGGTGAGTTTAATAATAACGGCAATAACAAGAGTTCCCCGAAGTTATTACTTCAACTAAAGTTCGTCGAACCAGTCGCCAAACTGATGAAATGTTTCGAAAATTTTCCGTTCAATTTTAAGCATTCGATTTTACTACAATTAATTGCTTTTAATATTTACATCGCTAAAAAGCGACTTAAATTTTGACCATAATACATAATTTAAGATTTTCAGTAATTTTACTTTAAAATGATATAAATATAATTGAATTATATGGAATTGAATGAGTATAAATAAAATTTTTATATATGTATAATACGATCAAATTCTTGAAAAAATTATAAGTAAAGCTGCGTTTATCAAACATAATTCTTAACTTTGAAATCAAATTTTAATTGCATTAATCATATATTTATATGCTCACGAGTATTTATCATTTGTAAGACTATAATGTCATTAAATATATTATGATTATATTTATTTTTAGCAAGAAAAATATGTGTCACATAATATCACGAAAAGAAATGAAGGAAAAATCTGATCGTGAAATAATTTTAATTTCTCTGAATTTTCATAAACAAACCTGGCAATTAGTCGAGCTTAATATCCTATTTTCATCAACTTCATCGTAGCTCGTGAGTGAAAATTAAATCCACGCGAATGAGGGAATCGCATGTCGCCTCGAAGCTACAGTGCCGCCAAATTGCAATTAAATGTTCGCACGTAGGATTCGACCTGCAGAATCATCGACAATTATAACTAATTTAATACTAATTTATAACTAATTTAAAGTCATGTTAATGCAGTCTGATTTAAATTTAAGCGGTTGCCGACTCTCAGAATTGCGTGCAATTGGCCGTTCAATGAAATGTACGTCATATTCTGTGAAGCCTGTTTTGTTCATGCCAAGCATGGGATTATTAATTTATGGCGTGCTGCGTACGTAACTCGGCCATAAATCAAACAGCAACGGTGCCGCGCCTAATAGCAATTAATCGATTTTACGAAGATTTCGTATCTATGTTTAGTCAAACGCGTGTGCGTATACGCTTGCAAGCTTGGAAATATCCCAATGCCCGAGTTTGCGCAAATACATCTCGTAATTCCTATCCCACCAGAATACGATAAAATTTACATGACAAAAGAGGATTACGTGCTATGAAATATGGAATGCTACGGTAATAAAAAAAAAAGCTATTATCGAACATATTGACACAGTGACGGAAGAATTAATTATCTATCGCGTTACATCGACCGGAACGATTCAGTGGACGAAAATTTTCCGATAAATGCGAACTTATCCGGAATTACTAGCGGATTCCCGATCTCTTTTTTTCGAAACCCTGTATTTAACGAATATAAATTCGGTCTTTCCGACCAAGTAGCGATCGTTAATAATCGGGGATTAATCTAAAATCGCAATTAAGATCTGACCATAAAAAATCGCTTCTTGGTTCAATTAACGGCTCTTTAACGACCCGAGGAAAATCGAGGCGAACTTGGGCAATTAATTTCCTTCGGTTGCTCTCGCCGTGCTTCACGCGCCGCCGAAAATTTACCACGACACGATCTCCTTCCTTCCCCTTCCTCGAAATACCTTCGATTTAATCCCGCGAAAATCCTTCTCGTGAGGCTCTCGGTATCGTTTCGAATAAACTTCGACATAGCGCGCGAAACTTTGCACGGAGAATGTCTATCGAGAACGGCTTCAGGCTGCATCTAAAGAAGTGAAAGAGGTTGTCTGAAATAATTCGCTACGAAAAACTGAAAAATTGATAGATCGAGTTAAACGGATTATAAAAGAGATTTTTGACACACCGACAATATTAAACCCGACTTTTCTAGAGGAAGATATAAATATAAAGAAGTATGCGAAAAATTTACGTATAAATATTAATTAACGATTAAGGTATATCGCGAAAAACTGTGAATATAATATGAATATACTCACGGCAAAATTCTTTTCAATGATGAGATTTCTTACAATTTCAAGTGTTTTCATTATCAAAAATTACTCCCCTTTGTACGTATCGCGAGTTTATTGCGTTTAAAGCAACTCTCAAAGGCGAGCAGAAGCGAGGAATTTATTTACGGTACTTGAAACGTGCGCGGCCGTGTCTCTGAAGAGTCCGTGAAGTATATAGAGTCGAGAGTTAACATAAAAGAAGTGGAAGAGATAAAGACAAGACGCGCGCGCATACAGTCGCAAAGTAGCGTACGCAAAATAGCCCGCGATAGAAAGTTTCGAGAGAGGGAAAATGCGTGCGAGGATACAAAAATATATTCCTCCGCGGAAAAACGTCCTCGAACGTCGAATTTGATGGAGCGTGGCAACGCGTATGTAAATCGTCGGCGTATATAGCCTGCGGTACATTCAAACGAGGATCTTGGCTCGTATTAAATAAGCAATGCGACTCGATAGCACGGTAATAGCGCGCGCGGGTATACCGGTCACAGACCCGTTATACGAGTTTCGATATAGCGCGGAATCCATTTAAGGGAGAAACCGATATCGAACCGGCCGCGGAAATGCAGCGCGCACGCGATATATATATATATATATATATGTATATACATTCTTAAATGCATTGAATCTCGGATTAAATCGGAGGGAGGATTAGAGGATTTCGGTTTCTCTCGATATTCATTTTCGAGGATGCCGCGCGCATCCCGCGCGTAAATCCGCGCTCTTTCAACCGCGAGAGATTCGAGAGACCTCCCTCGCGCGCAGAGGATATGTGACGCACGAGATCCGCATTACGAATTAACGCGAACGCGCCGCTCGTGCCGATGTCGTGACTGGTAAAGATAAATAATACATCGCGCGGAGGTTAACATAGACGTGAAACTTTCAGTTACAATGGAACGTCGACGTGCTGCGGGATGCACCAGAAATTGAACGTTTCCGAACGGTGTCGGATAAAAGCGCAATATCGGAAATCATCCCCGATATTATTTCCCGACGCGTCGCCTCGATGAGAAGCAAAATTTCTCGAGGGACCTTGGAAGGTATCATAACGTCTTCTCGTTAGAAAGACAACCCCGGCGTGATTCAGCTGTTAGGAGTCGATCTAGATGCGTGACACTTATCCCAGCTCGTGAACGAAATGTGATGTGTGTCAGAGCATGATAAAAAGGGGATTGTCGCGATCCGGAAAGTCCGACCCTCGTGAAAGCGCATAAAGACGGGAGTTTTGAAAAAATCGAGGTCTTACTTAGTCGCTCACCTTAACGTTGATATATTCGCTCGCACCGTTAAACAAATAGGAAAAAGGGAAGCCAAACGAGCATCCACCACTAATGGCAAGACGTGTAAAATGCGCGTCATTTACCGTCACTGCGTAATGAAATCATTAATGTTATTAAATGGAATATTAATCTGATGCATAATGACGTAGTAGAGCGCATAGCCGTGTTTACTGCGCGTTGCATCGTAACGCTGTGCATTACGAGCAATTTTTCATAATTAATACCAATCTGTGATCGCGCGAGAGATGTGCAAACTGCAGTAATTGCGAAAAAAAATATGAAGATGGTAACGCACAATGAATCGAATAATTGCGCGAGAGTTTTTCTTTTAACATAAATATCACATTTATACGCGCGAATCATTAATAATGCGATTAATATTGGAACGCGAGAATTTTGTAATTAAACTCAATAAAAGCGTGCAAAATGATATCATGCATAGAAGACCGTATAACAATAATGAAGCCATGTACAATAATTATAATTGTTCAATCAAATCTGTATTAAATTCTATTTAATTTTCACCGATAATTTAAAAATTTTTTAAAATTTAATAACACATTTTTTTCTTCAAAAACGCCATTGGTTATTTAAAAATATTGAACGTATAGCAATACTGGGAGAAAACATCAAAGAAGGGAAAAAGCAGAGCATGCGAAAGTATCTCGTACCGACTACATATATATTTTGGATTATGTTCCGATCCGAGACAGATCCCTTAAGGTATCCAGTCTGCCAACGTCAGGACGAAAGGGATAACCACTCGGTTATGTCCATTGGGACGAACGCAACACATATACACACAATACGTATACGTAACTCATACACCGTATATGTATACAGTAACCAAACCGAGGCCCGCCTCGATCTATCACTGTCCTGGTTAATTCAGACGGGCTGACGGTATCCACTGTGGAAGGTTACTCCATTGATCGCGTGCCGTCGACTTACATACGATCTTACACAACGTCGCGACGTAGACAAGATTTTCCCATGTAACGATCCCTTTTTCTACAATCATATACAGACCTTCTCAAATAAACGCGCGACATAATAGAATGCAATATAATAGTATAAGTGCGTACTCAAAATTTTACTATCGTATAAAAAAATTTATGAATTTTATTTGCATTAAAGAAATATAAAATTTTTTTGCATAAAAAATATATATATAAAATTGTTATTTTAGTTTTTGTTGAATGCGATTTTTTGAAAATTTTCTCGAAAAATTTGTTTTATTTTTATTTAGTACGAAAATGTAGTATAAAAGAGAGCGAAAACATTTCCCCACCATGTCCTCGCGCGCAGTACATATATACTAATGCGTCGCAAAATTCAAAGAATACTTGAAGAATCGATACAAGTACTTTCGTTGAAGCCCCTCGGGCTGTCTATCCGCGAGATTCTCGGCATTTCCGGCACATCACAAATCACGAAAGTGCATTCCAACTTGAGATGAGCCGAAGCTACTCGATTTATCGCGTCTCTCGATGGGAATTTGCGTTACACCTTCGGCGACTTCGCAACAGGAAGAAGCAATTCGGGGTAAGAACGGGGGAAAATTTACGTCTCGCGCAGTTGTTTCGGAATTTTAGATACATCGCAAAAAGAGTGATGGAAGATGGAACGCCGGCGGCGAAACACGTTTTTTTTATCTCCCTTTTTTGATAACTGTTATCAAATTGAATTTCCATTATCTCTCCCATTGTTCGCTATATATTTTCACATTCGATAACTAAACGAGTATAAAAGTGCAATTTTATCAATCGAATAGACGAATGTTTTCAATAAATTTGTCAACAAATAATAAGTAAAAGACTATTTTTATAAAAAATAAATTTAAAATATTTATTTCCTTTACGTATAATTCGCACCATTGTGTTGCAATAAAATAGGAATAGTAAGTTTATTGTAATATATTACGAGTAACTCGTAAAAGAAATCCGTAGGACATCACAATGCAAAATACACGGTTTGAAGTTTACGATGCCAGATGCAAGGATTAATAAAGCAGAGCAATAAAAGAAAAAGCCTTTCTTTAAATCGATTTTCACGTGTACGGTTTTTCGCAAAGTGATCTTCGAGGTAAGTTAAAACGGCCGTCTTAATAGCCAGTTCGCATTGCGCAGCTGCAAAATTGCTAAAACTTATCTCGTATCGCGGCCAGATAGAAAGAGAATTAGTGAGAAAGAGAGACAAAAGGGGAAGAAAAAGCATGGGGTCCTTACAACCACAGCTCGCCTTTAAGTAGAATCGCAGATACGACACGTTGTATACACGAGGAGAGGAGAGTATTTTTACGAACGTCTGACCTAAAACTCGCCTCGACTACTGCTCGTTCTTGCGCGCGGCTGAGCTGGAAAAGTGCGGAAGGGAAAAGAGAGACTTTGCACACGTACAATATATACATACACACGTATACACAAACGTTCTGTGAACGTCTGACCTGAAATGCTGCGGTAACTGCCTCCTTACAGTATCGCGAAGAAGGATACGAAAGGAGCGATTGTATCACTAATACAGACGTCGGTACAATTCGCTTTAATATCACTGCATTTTCCCGATGCGAGATTACGTGGCGCTCTGTGTTCATCTTTTGAAATCAAATTTCTTCCGCCGTGACGTTTGAAATTAAGATCTCGCATATCTAGAATTGGGATTGCTGATAACGCGAATGTAATTGCGAATCCGCGATAATGCTTGTTTTTTGCGTACGAGCGTGTATAATTCCTCATGATTATATACGCCCAGCAAACACCGATATATAATTGTTACATTGTTATAATAAAACGGAATATAACAGGTAATATAACGTGTACGTTACATGTAACATCCATGTTAGTTGTAATTTCCCACTCATAGATGTAACATTTTAATATAACATATATTACATTGTAGTTATATTGTTATTATATACCAAATAGCACATTGATGTATTGAGTCAGTGATATCTTGGGATATAATGACAATATAACTACAATGTAATATATGTAATATTAAAAATGTTACATCTATGAGTGAAAAATTACAACTAACATATACGTTACATGTAACATGCTTGAGTATATAACATTTATATACTGTGTTTGCTAGGACCGTAAGAAACAATGGAAAAAGAGCCATTAATGGCGAGTAATATTTTATTCATTGATAATGCACACACAGTTCCTGTAATTTCAAATAACGGAGTAGCGAACATGTGAACGAACCACATTTGGCACGAAAGATGTCGCATGTCTGACACGATAATGCGCTCGTTAAATAAATATACCGCGCGAATATACTCGATAACGTCGAGTCTACAGGTTTGATATTTATTTATTTATTTTTTCGACGGCTGTACCGCCGCAAGTAATCATCCAGCTATATGTAGGAGCAATTACGAGTTGAAAGTTTTTCCCGTCTTGCGCCGTTTCCGTTTGGCATACCGACATTCAACTGCAAGCGCAGACTAAACTTTCCGCTCACTCACTCTCTCTCTCTCTCACTCCCTCTTTGCCGTTGAATTATTTACGCGTCGCAATTAGCCGTCTCGCGGCAAAAGTCACCGAAGTACTCGAAATACAGACGTCCCGAATGTAATTACGGTGCTTGACATCGCGCGCGATTAAAGTCGTCACTATTAGCGGCCGTCATCCTACGGGCGGTTTCGCGACGTTATGCAATTCCTGTCAACCGCAGCCCGAGAAGCGATACCGGGAGAAAAACCGGAAGAAGAGGTCCCTTCGCGCCCCTTCGTCCGTTGATTTACGGCGCCGCGACGGTAACTTCACGCCTCGGGCATAAATTTCTTCCGCATTGTTGAATAAAACTTCTCGCCGACGTCGCGATGCGCGCACTTGTGCATAATATATAATGCGAAAAATTTGCGCCGAAGTAAGACAACCTCCTCTTCGTTTCGATTACAAAAAAAAAAAAAAACACGAACTTTTAATGTCTCTCATGTCCGAGACGATGTCACCTAACGAAATATATCAACCGCATCTCCGTTGATGAAAATTTATTAACTCTGCGTATAATCCTGTTTTCTTTGAGGAAAAGTAGATTTAAGAGCATAATGAAACGTGGCAAAGAAAGAAATCTAATCGTGTAGTTGTTTGGATTACGGTCTATGTGAGGATAACCGGCTAAAGTATGCACATAAATTTTGCAATGTCAAACGGATGTCGTAACGAGTAAAAGAACTAATTATATCGCCGTGCGACGATCTCGCGTGACGGTTGAAAACAGAAATCGCGATCTCCACATCGCGTGCCTTTTTGAAGTCGCGTTGATTTTTTTTTCTTTCTTTTTGCAATGCCATGTACATACATACGTGTTATGCATAGAGCGTAACCTTAAAAGACGGTACATTCAGAACCAAATTATTCCACAAACCGGGCCGGTTGTATTCTTGCTTTTGAATGCATTACGCAAAGGGACTCTTAAAGTTTCTGTTATTTACGATCGCCGCCGATACCCGGTTATTTAAAATGCAAATTATTCCTGTGTGTTTGTAGAATATCGTAATGTGCATTTAATTATATATTCCTAACGCTATCAGATGCTGGATTAAAACGGAGCATTATATTATATGTGTCAGAAATATCTCGTAATTAGAATACGAATGAGATTAACGTTATTGTATTTTAAATCAGAATAAACCCACGAGCCAATATTGAATAAAAGTAATCCTTTGTAATAAATCGCAACATTTTTATCGATTTTAGCTTTAGCATGAGAATAGCCTATTTTACAATTCAGTATCGTCATAATATATCCATTAATGTGATGAATTTTCGATAGAACTCATCAATATAAAATTTACGTGTCTTTTACATAATTAAATAATAATCAATTTCATTTATACATTCGCTTGTTGTATGTGGAACAGAGTAAAATATATATAATATATATCGGCATATTTAAACGCGATTTTTGTATTAAAAAAATTTTTAAATAAAAAATAGGAACGTCAACATTATCGTAAATTAAGCAATCACAAATATAAATTGATAAATTGAATAATCAACTCACGTATTTTCGTTTTACTGTTACAGTTCTGGTCGGCGTATGTACCCTGTTCATCGCAGCATCTTGACTCGGTGCAGTTGGCCCTGGAGCAAATAGACCTTATTCGCCGATTGGTTAACAAACATCAGGAAAATATGGTCCTAGTTACCACAGCGGAAGGTTCGTAGTTTTTATTTTCCGCGCACTTATGAACTCGCGAGCGCAACGAAATAAAATCGGGAATACATGAGCTATATTAGCTCGAAACACTCGCAAAAGCATCGCGACTTGCGAGAATGAAAATTCGCCTCGCGATGTATACTTGGCGCATGGCCAGCTCAAATCGACCCCGACTTCGTTCAGTATTTCTTCAAATATTTTCGATTGAATACTCACTCGATCGACACTCCGCCTCTCAGAAAAATATGTGACCGTAGGAGAACTTTCGAACTCGATCAATTTAAAATACTCGCTATTTTACATTCGACAGAGAATTTATTATATACCACGGATTTATAATGCAACGAATATTCCAGTTAACCCTTTAATGCGGACGTATTACTTGATAATCCGAGTTTCGCCCGGAAATTAATGCGTTACTCAGCGCGGGATCAATCTTGCATAATTGCTCGCTATATCAATTTACTCTCTACAGACGTGGCGATGTTTAAAATTACAGAGATAACGCCGATGGGGTGGGATTTCTCCACGTCCGAGCAAACAGATTTTTGAATTCCCTCCGCCTATCCCCCTGCAAAATTGTTTTCCCAGCCGTTATATATCCACATGTCCCGCATTCCTCCTGTAATCTCCGTGTCTCGCATTTTTCGCATGCTGATGAATATTCGCGAAAATAAAAGCACGCCGAGAAACGTGGCCCGCGGAAATATGTCGTCCGCAGCGCGTGTCCGGAAGCGACGAAATTCGCTATATAGCATTAAATTTTCATTATCGAATCGGGTTATCTATTTGCACGAGTCCCCGACACATTTCAGGATCCTTTGGCATTGTGTCAGCGAGAATTGTCGTTTCCCCGTCCTTCGTCATGTTCGTTATGGACTTTCCTTTCAAGAATTTAGAATGCACTTTAGATAGTGAAGAGGAAGCGCGAACTGGAAAACGAGCAATCGCTCCTTCAACGTAAGAAGCATCTTTCGAATGTCTTCTAGAGTGTCTTTCGACCTCGTCGAATCCATTTCGGGACGATCCGCTAGAACAGTCGAGTTTCCCAGGTGCGAAGAGTTCCACAAAAGGATTAGAAAAAAGCGAGAGTGTAATAAGATCGATTCAAGAGAGACGCTTTCCTCTCGCGTCAGTTTCTTTCTATTTTTAGAAGAGGAATTCTTACACGGAAAAGACGGGGCTTTTACGCATATATGTACGTATCACCGCGTTGAAGAAACGAAAAATCGTCTGCGCGAGAAATGACATTCATTCATTCGTTTCATGAAAAATTTAGAGAGAGAAAGAGAGTGTTTATATGTGTGTGAGAGAGAAAGAAAGAAAATTACGACAATCTAATTTCGTTTATTGAGAAAAATATACCGAAACAATAGCACATCAATAATTCATTTTCATGATGTATTTTATACAGAGAGATTATTGTATTTATATAAATAAATATAAATGCATACATCACTTTGCTCCATATTTATTTAACAAAATTATTATAACTTTTAAAATTGTCATTTTCCATTTTATAGTTGCTTTTTCATAAATTAGATTGAGTAATAATATTTCCCCATTTCCAAAAAAAAAAAAATATCCCATTAAAATTACGATAAAAATGTCATAAGATAATCAAATAATTTGGAAGTTTGTATATAAGATATTGAACATTTTTTTTAAACATTTTTATGATCTCTCTTTTCTCTTTAGAAACTTTATTTTTGGATGATTTTCAAATTATTTTATACTCCATCTAATATTGTCTTCATTTTTATCATGAAGCAATATTTCTACTAAATTGATTCATTGAAAAAAAAAACTGCAGAGTTATATTAATTTCTACAAATATAATAAACGTAACGTTTAAACATGATAAAGATATCGTAAATGCATAAAACTTGAAGAGATTTTTCCCTCAAGGGACGAAGAAAGTAAAAGAAGTTGAATCGGTAAAAAAAAGACAGAAAAAGACGATGACAACAACGAGTACAATGTAATGAATGTACGACATCGAGAAAACGAGGAAAAGAACAAAGACAATCTCAGTAAATAATCTTATAGCTTTATCGATTGACTTTCGTTTGACGTATGCATTTCTTCAGACAAAGACGTTAGAAAACCAGTTCATCAAAATTAATATACAGGAAATAACTGCTGCATTTCTTTTTCTGCAAACACTGTGAAGAAGATAAATTACAAGTTTGATACAAATGAAATGAGTATACATAATTAAATATAAAAATAGCAATATCGAGTGTTATTATATTATTAAATATTTTACGATATTTATGTGTATAATATAAAATTACTGACAGAGTTATTTAGAGAAATCATAAACAAAGAAGATTTAAGTGCATTTTACTAAATATAGATGAGAGATTCTTTGATGGGAAATTCCTTAACAGATTCTTGAACTTTATTGAAATATGTCAAATTCTCTCTCTCTCTTTCTCTTCCCTATTTTTAATAAACAAAATCAAATTCCTACCATAATTCTTAACCGCGTCTCAATTATTATTGTTTCCCGTAACATTTCGTAACTTTGTGTGTATTCCCTTCTCTCTCTTTCTCTCTTCCTATTATTTTTAATACGTCGTATCTCGCGAGGATGTATACGCGCCAAGAATTTCTGGAAAATATTCCTATATTTGGCGAGCAAATATTTGCCGTTGGATTTCGTTGTCCCGCTGTCACAATGCGCGCTGTCTAAGCGTAACGCAAATCCGATGGGAAGATGATGGAACGCGAGAAAGATGCGCCGGATGGTAAATTCCAACCGGAATGGAAAAATGTCGTTCCGATGTGCCGACCGATATACTTCGTTCGATAACCCCGAACGTCGACGACTGCATGTCGCCGCTCACATGCATATGTAAATAAACATAAAATGCGCGCACGTATGCATGTACGTTCATACGTATGGACATCTGATTGTACCGAACCGACAGATCCATATTCTCTCCTGTCGCGACTTTCTCTCCGCTGATTAAAAGGCCAGGGTATTTCAGAGGCAACATAGAGATATTCGCTGTAATTTCGCGGTACATTGTTGCACGCTTTCGATATTTTGAGACTGTCAAACGTGTTTCGCGAATGACATTTCTAAAAAAAAAAAAAAATATATATTTCTCTCACGGTGCGTATTATCTACATAAATCTATTAGTACATCTATCTAAATTTAAAAAAAGTTACATTTAATTTTTGGGACGATATTTCCCGCGTAAGAAGAAAATCACCATGCATATTACTCCAGTTTACGCGCATAATTCATTCTTTATTCATATTTTCCGAAGCATCGCGTTTACCACTTTATTCATAGCGCATTACATGTGAGTGTTGATAAGAAGACAAACGATCATATGTCACCGTAAAGAAAACCGCGTGCCCGTCTTTTTAAAATTATATGCAAATTTTATGCACATCGGTGGCGTGTTATCTCTTTCGACTGGAAAAAGAGAGTGAGTCGCGCGCGAAGAGAGTACGCAGCTTGCGCGCGCGCGAACGAGCAGCTACAAAATATAGCACTTTGAGGAAGCAATCTGCCAGATGGAAGAAAGGGCGCCGGTAGAACGCGGAAGATGAGAAATTCCACGAGGAATGGAAGAATGTTCTGAAACCATGGAGCTCGCCGTAGCTCCGTCCGATAATGTCGAAGAACATTCGCCTCGGTATATATGTATATACGTGCGCGAGCGCATACATGCATTCGCATGCACGTGCAGATATATGGATACACATGCACAGAATATATCCGTATATGTAGCGAGAACATATAGGCGAACCGATACATTCGCGGGGCCAAATGTATCAGCGTTACAGGGCGAGCGAGTGCAAAAGTATAAATCGCGAGGCGCACTAAATCAAGGACCCATCGACAGGGCGCGTTTTATTCGCGTCGCTCCTTTTTCGTCCATTCGTCCATTAGAAGCCGTAATACAACGTAATCGCCGCCCACGTCAGCGGGAAAAATTAAAGCCACCGCGCGGCGACAAATGACATTTGCGCTGTGACGTGCGTTCGAGTTGATTTAGGAGATTCCGAGGAGAGAAAAGGGACGCGTTGTTAAACTTTTTAACGTTTCGCAGACAGGAAGAAGTGACTTCTCGCTTTCCGCGAGGGTCGAAGGACCCTGAATCTGAAATGACTTAAACAGACATGTCGGAAGTTTTTCATACAAGGCTATTGAAAGGTAGCTACCGCGATCTTTCGTCGTAAAAACGGGATTATACATTTAAAAAGTATGCAAATTTTTAGTACAGACACTCTTCTACTTATAAACTTTCGTTTTACGAACTTTCGCAAGTAGGAACAAAATTATGATTCGTCAGTGCCAGAGCGTCGCGCCGCGTATACCAAGAAGAAGAATGTAAAACAATTCAGTTAAAGATAATGCAGTCTCTTTTTTAACATAATTTGTTCTCTATTTTTTAAGAAAAAAAATTTAAGTAAAATAATAATTTCGACTTGCAAGTATAGTCGACTTAAATAAATAGCGCGTCCAGAAATTGAAGTTATATTTCTAAAAACGTTTACACTGGAATGCAAGAGTTCTACAATGAGCTCTCAATTATCTATGTATACGTGTACTCTGCGATTATCGATCGTTGGACCAGTACGCGAGTGATACATATAGACATTTATTAATATGTGAGAGAACATATTAAATATATATATATATATATATATACCAGAGTATATTGTAACGATGCAGCATACAGGACGTATTATGTATGCCGGTTTACTGCTTTTGTATGTGAGATATTACCTTGCTCCGGAATGATATTTTTAGAAGCGCGGTAATCCGTTGACGTCAAGTGTATTACTTCCGCCTAGTTGCCGTGAATTCTTTGTAATTGGATGATAAATTACAGCGCGTTGCTTTTTCTCCTTTTTTATCAAATTCATCCGTAAGCCGATGCTGAAAGATCCGCTCGGACAGGCAATAAGAATTTTTCCACGGAAATATGATAAAACTAATACACTATTCCCTATGCGAAACGTATTGACGGCGCGAGACGCTTCCTAATCCGACGTATCCAATAAGGAATTTAATCAAATCCGCATAACGCATACCGCGAAATTGAATTCCTCGATACCGTCGACCGGATCTTGCGCCGGCGAATTTGGTTAAGTGATTAAACGTCGCAAATCGAATTCGCGGAATGACATAATGCCCGATTACCCGTTGATTAAGAGCGCCAACTCCACTCCTCCTCCGCTGAGTTTTCTTCGATCAATTCCGGATTTTGGATTGTAGTGGCACCCCCAAGCATCATCAGCTTAATTAACTTCTATTTATACTTTGTAATTAACGATCGTCGCGCGATGAAACATTCGATAAACGACAGAGGCAATTTGAAAGATTTAATTAATCCAAAGAGATCGGAGACGTCGGATAAGCCCGCTTAATTATAATCCACGTGCGTCGCGCATTGTGCCCGTCGTAATTGCATTTTACACTCGTATTGTTTATATACGTTTTTGATTTCGCGCGGAAATATAAGAGGGACACGCGTCCTGCTCTCTAGAATGTCGCGCTTAAAACGCGCGCTAAACTTTTTTCTCCGACGTAGGTATATACAGGGTGTCCGGTAACTAACGGACCAACGATTACAAATGGATTCTTTGGTCAATTTGGAAACGATTTTTCCTCAGCAAAAATGTCGAAAAAGGTCATCATTTTTTACAACTTTCCAATATTTGTTATTATGTATCTTTATAACTAAGCCTCAAATTAAAATTTTATTATAGTAAACTCTACCTGAAATTAACTGAAGAATGTAATTATGTTAGACTTTTAACTCCAAAAAGTTTTCAATCGCTTATAACTCGAAAATTATTGACTTCTCAACATTTTTGCTAAGGAAAAATCGTCTCCAAATTGGCCAGAGAATCCGCCCTTAATCATTGGTCCGTTAGTTACCGGACACCCTGTATATTTCGTCGGTACCCAAAACAATTCCGTAGCGTTACGTATGTCCGTCGAAAATGTTGTTTCAACGCGACTCCGTCGTTGTTTTCCGATCTCGTGCGCAAACAGAATTTGCAAACTTTCCCAGATCCATTTACCATCGGCATTACTTATCGGGGGCACGGCCGGAACTTTGTAACGGCGTTCCAGCCATTATTTGACATCACGCGTCACTCGCGTTACGTGCGAAGGATCGCGGAAATGAGATTATTCTTTCGACGGCGTGAAAAAAAATTAATGAACAAAATACAAAAATCCGCCCCTCAACGCTGTCCTTTAAAACGCGAACGTCGAAGAGTTCAAACATGTACATATATCGTAGGAATTTATCTATCCGAACGCACGCGCGCGTCTGCAACATTTCTACCCGGCTTACTGGTTTTACGTGGCGCCTGTGATACAAATCCACCGCCACCCTGTGTCAGAGAATAATGGCTCGTAATAGTGACGGGGTGAGCTCACAGTTCTAAATAAGCTTCAAAGTTACACCGTTCTGAATAAGAGCGACGAGCAGACGGGAATATATATATATATATATATGCGAAGTAAATGATGTAATGTATGATTTCAGGTATCGAGAAGGCGCACAAAGAGGGTAGATTAGCGAGTCTGATAGGGGTCGAAGGGGGCCACGCCGTCGGAGCGAGTCTGGCGGTCCTGAGGATGCTGTACGAGTTGGGCGCCAGGTATCTCACCCTCACGCACACGTGTAACACGCCTTGGTGAGTGTGCCAGCGCAGAAATGCGTTGTATATAAAAAGCCGTAAGAATGTCATCGCGCGCTATGTTGTAAAGCGAGGACAATGAGGGAAGCAGAAGCAAAACGCGTCACACCCGGGCATCCCGTTACGATGTTACACTCGCACGAGATCGTACGAGCTGCAATCTCGTTATGTGGTCGTCTCCATTATACATTTGCGACACACATACGCGCGTACACTGACTCGTACTCTAATCCCGTTAAGTTTCACAAAGTGCACGCGCGCAGCGCGCTGTGGCAAGTCTATTTCGCTTAAATCGAGGCGTTAAACGCTCTAAACGCGATCTCGTTAAGATAGAAAATTGCACGTATAATTTGTCAATGACAAAATTAATTTATCAAATCTTAAATATATAGAATAGATATTATTTCTCGCGTCAAAAAAATATTCGCAAAGATCGCGAGACCGGGTGAACGCTTCTGCAGTTAAATACGGTGCGAGAGCGTATATACGATAGGTCGAATGAGCGAAGTCGGGGTCAGAAGCTGAAATAAAAATTGATTATTTGCTACGCGCGTTAGTGCGTGAATAGCGATTACCGGCGTAGAATTTTATCGTCCGGTTGCTGAAAATGGGCCGCAAACCGCGCAATAACGTCGGGCATTGCGGCAGGCGTGCAATCGCCGATGCCTTTACAACCGGGACTTTTCATCCGCGCTCTACCTGAAGTGAAATAGCCTCTGGTCGACGGTAGTAGTAATTCGAAGCCATACACAGTTTCGTTCATTTCTCGTGCATTAAAAGCTATCGCTTTGAACACGAGCGGTAAAACGTTTAACGTAAACGGATTAAAGTTCCCATAATAGTTCGTGCGCGAACCATAAGATCAACGTGTTGCCACAGTGTATATGTATGCGTGTGTGTATCTGTATGCGAGTCTATAATCCACAAAATTCCTAGTTTTGGCCTTTTAGAAATCGAATTGAAAAAGATGGCGATCGCAATATCGAGGGATTATGTAGGATCGTGTTATTTGGATTTTATATGTAGATTAATATATCCATTGCATTTCCAAAATATTTTGCCTATTCCGTGAAATTTTGATTCTCTAATCAAATTACTTGGTTAATAAAAAAGGAATCGTTATATTTAAGTCACTTATTCTAGAGAGGACATTATTTCTAAATCCTTATTTCTCAGAAAACACAGAAACATGCAGTAGCATGAATGTATCTTTATAGAAAAAAACATTCTCATTCTGTTACATTTAAATTAATAGTTGACGTTAATATTTCTATAGACAAATAAGTATTACAGACTTGTATACAGAACAGAGATTACTATATGAAAGGATTTATTATTTACATAAAAAATAAAAACGCATTTTTTATTAGTTTTCAAGAATAAAGTCCTTTCTAAAAACAAGTAATTTAATTATATCGCGTCATATCCAAGTAAAGTGTGAAATTTTCCGGTGTAATTCACAACGATCTTTCTTTTATACGTCGAGTTGTTTTGTTTCGAGATAGAGTATCGAGGGAGAATTGCGAGGTGAAGATCGCAGGTCGTCTGTCCCAGCTGATGCCACGGTAGATCGTAGAAATATTATTACGTGCGACAAACAATGAACAAAAATTCGCGAGTGCCGGCCTATTTATTTTACTAACTTTTCTGAGAGACGACTCCAAGAGAAACACAATATAAAACTTTCCGAGCAAATTGATGGATATATATCGACTATTTTAACGCGCCTCTTGTACAAGATGAACTTCAATTTATCTGTCTCCTTATAGTATCACTCTTTAAATATTTATAGTATCGTTTGACGACAAAAATCGGTGCTCTATTATAAATCGATTTTATCGCGTTGTTGTATTGATGATGGTATTCAAGATGGATTTATATTACTCTTCCAAATTTTCGCCATTTATCTCATGAAACTTTTCGATAAAGATGTTTATTAAGCTCGATAAAGAATACAAATTTATACCTGATTAACATTGAACGAATTTCTTCGCAAAATATTCACTTTGCGACCTAATACCGTTATTTAAAATCACTTCTAAATTAGAGTTTCCGTTTCACTTAAATTAAACAATGTATTCATTACACATCGAATTAGAATTATCCCGAGGAGGGCAAAATTATAACTAAAACGTAGTTTTTAAAAATGTCCTCGATATATCTCGTGTACCTGAGAGAATAAAAGAGAATTTCAGGTTATTTCGCGGAATAATGCTAACCTACCTCTCGTCATTACGAACGCTATATTACGCGATGTATAATGAGAAACACGCAAGACGGCGATCAACTCGCTCAGTTCATTTATGAGTATATTTAGCCCAGCCTAAGGATATATGGTATACCTCAGTCGGGAGAAAACGCGCGGAAAGTCGCATCGATAAAAATTGAACAATAGACACGTTTTACCGGCGATCGACGTCCGGCGCGATTTATTTCCGCGAACGGAACACGATGGTCAACATATTTCATGCATCCCTGCCCGTTGCTTTGTAATTAAATCTCGCGTGTAACATGATAAATCCCCCGCGCGGATTAATGTATATTGTAACAATATTATACGTGTCCGGCAAACGCATTCGGCACATTTTACGACTACAATAGATAGGGCGATTACGATGCGTGGCCAAACAAAAATGCCGCCTCTCTCTAGGCGCGCGTGATATCATAAATTCGTGAAATAGCGCTCGCGCGATTTAACTTTGGTTCGATGAAATGTTCGACGAGAGAACGTCGATACGCAGCTTCGATCCGTTTCGCTCCAAAAGCGCAGGGAAAGCCGCGACAGATCGGTGATTTAATGCCGCCTGTCTATCGTTGGCAATTAAATCCGACAATGCGGCTGGAACTTCAAACCAATCTCGAGTCGAGGATTAATACGTACGACGATCGATGGTTATCGATTATCGCTATCATTACCATCACCGCATCATTGCTCTATTCGCGATAGCTTAGAGGATATCGGCACTAATGCGCGCGATTGTCAACGTGGTATTACATCCAAGTCCTCGAACTGATGTCTAAAGCACGTCGTATGTCTCGTATAATCCTATCCACTAAGATATTTAACCCCTTTAACCCTGTCAATTGTTGTCGCAGTTTGACATGGGCGCAACTTGTCGTAGAGAATTGGAATATGCATTACGCGATGTAATACGCGATTAAAAGATACATGTGTCGTAGATGGAGGAAAATTGCTTTACTTGTATGGCAAACATTAGAGAAATCTATTTCTCGGTGTTGACACAGAAACTGGTCAATTTCTTTCACATACAAGCCATCCAATTCAACGAAATGTCATTTACTTGCACGTTACATGACAGGATCCAATTAACAATACATCAAGCTGTAGGAAAATACACTATCGATTTTATCAACGACCATAGAGAAACGTTCTCGTAATTATCTCGAAATAAAACTCGGCAAATTGCGGATAAAATAATACCTTAAATTTTTCACTACACGGGTTTGTCATATCCAGTAAGAGTATTTTACACGCGCAATCTATCCCAATTTTTATATATCTAAATTCGAAAGGCGATTAAATTTTTCGTGAAACTTTGAACTGCTTCGCGTTTAATTTAATCGGCTTTTGAAAAAATGTAAAAATTGAAAGACGCGCGTGTAACATTTTTATCCAGTGACTTGCAACCATTTCGATACGCTTTGTATAGAAAAAAGCCTCTTATTTTTTCCAAAATTATAAAAAATTGACATGTAAATTTAAAAGTTAATATTGAAATATTGAAATATTTGTAGATTTACTTTGCATACACATATATTGAAACCAATTAAGGCCACATTATGTAATATAAATTTAATGAAGTTCCATACTAGAATATTCTCGAGATTATTCGGAATAGAGACGAGTTAGTTGCGATATGATTGCGATTCATTGTGTGTACATGTGTGACTCGTTGCAAGCTACTATCCTGTGAATAATACTATTGCCGTTATCGTTGGCATTACGAGAGCGTGGAAACCTGTGATTAGAGAGGATTCTATCGCAATAACGTTCACGATTGTCGCTACTGAGTTACTGACCTGTTGGTTCGTTAGGGCAGACTGCAGCACGGCGGATGAACCCGGTCAAGTGCCTCAAATCGGTGGTCTCTCGAATTTCGGCAAGGTGAGTACGGAAACCTATAAACATAGAAATTCATATATTATTCCGATGTGCGCGTTGCAATACGAATTTTCTTATAATTTTGCAAAAATATACAACACGACATGCATGTGTATAATTATTATTATTATTCATATAGCAATAAAAGTACTTTATGCTTTCTAAAATTCGTCGCAAAAATATAACGCGCAGTTCGTGAGCTTTTGTAAAATTATATATTTACATTCCCGATTATGGCATCGAGAAAACGCACGCTTTTATAAAACATACTTCTCTGCAATCTATAAAATTAAATACATATTTCTCTGCAATCTATAATATTTTTATTTGTACAAAAATATTGTACGTGTATCTGTCGCTATCGTACGTATGGTATTATTTATAAAACAGCGAACATGTAGGAAAAACATAACATGAATATGTTGCGCATTGAAATATGTACAAAATACATATTATAATCTGATGTATTCCTTTTCAAAACAAATCTCGAAATTTTCTGAACTAACAGTTTTAAAAGTTCGATTATGGTGTCAAATGGAATTAAAATGCGTATTCTCTTCCGTACTCGTTGTGACAGAATGACCAAGTTTGACCGCGTCAGCCATATTCAACTGTATTTAATCGTAAATCTGGTATGTTCTATGCCGTTTGTATCGACGTGTCGTCCATAAATATACGGATTTCGATGAGAATTTAAACGAAAAATGGTTTCGCCAAAGTGGAACCGAAATGTTTTTGGTCGAATCGGAGATCCATTGGGAATGGTGATATCGAATTTATTACCACGGTGATTTCGCGAGGGTTTATGCGTATGCGCCAGAAAGCTGACGCTATAACATCAAAGTATAATAACATCAAACGTTATGATACAATTTTCTTCATTGCTTCGCATTTTGATTCTAAAAACAGCGAAATTATGTTAATGTACAGGTGTCGTATCACACATTGTTGCTTTCAAGTACTTTGAATATCTCTGTTCTCTATAATAGGGAATCGGATACGAATTACAAGTAGCTTGACACATGATATTAGAGGTCACATCACTAACAAAGCGAAATTGCATATTTCATATATTGTAATTAACAAAATCTTGCTAGTTTCATCATTTTAAAAGAGTCGTCCTTGTAGGACAAATTTTACGAAACTAAATTTCTAGCAATTTACCAATCGAGCTGATCCTCTGAAAACTACTAAAATGGATAGAACATGTTTCGAAGTTCTAGAGCACTATTGTTCACTTACATGACAAAGGACGGTTAGTCCAACGGATTAGTGGTCGTTTCCAAATTCCCTTCAACTCTCTGATGCGCCAGTTCTGTCCATTACCAGTAAAGTAGCTACTTAACTTTTAATATGTAAGTTTCGTCGTTGAAAGCTTCAAGAACATCTAAAGAATGTTCTATTCCGCATAAAGGACGACAATATTTATAAAATATACTTTAAACAAATTCGAAATTCATTAAAATATGTTATAAAATACAGGGAATATAAATGTATAATAGAAATATTATTGGAATTTTTATAGAATTTATTTTTTCATGACAGTAAAGTAAAATCTACAAAAATAAAATAGTGATTAAAACAGTGACAACTTTGGCAACTAATAGCGCGTGCGATGATCCCATATTGATTTTAGCGCAAACTTCGGATACCACTCTATTCGCAAACGAGAGAGCCGTTTCTAAGCAATCACTTAAGGGTAATGCCGCCTCTCACCTTTCAAGGATATATCTTCTGCTTGTCAAACTGTAAGTTTTCCCGCGAAAGCGTCACGTAGAAGAGTCGTTGCGAAACTTTACGTTAGGGAATAGTGAGCAACAGGACTGTCACTCGACAGACTTCATTGATCGGAATGAGCTTAGGAAACAGCGACAATAAACTTTCCTCGGTCATTTTCAAGTTGTGAAATTGCAATAATTGATTCAATTCCTCCATTGGTGCCATTAATGGTTGTATCTTAAGTGCTCATTCAATTTACTTCGATTATCCAAGTAAATTACATTTTCTCGAAAAGTAGCGTTGTAAATTCGATTTGAGCAAGTATAAAGTTCTATATATTTCTCGACTTATTTCTAGACCTTTATGTCCTAATTATTTCAATATCTATTTAACTCGTTCGAAGCACTTTCGCGTGGGTTTCCAATTAATCGATTTCTACGTTAACCATCGTAGATGTTCCGTAACAGAAATTTTGATTGTGTTTGCGACAGTGGTATGGTTAAGTCCTCGCCGATCACGGAGGAATTGAATTTGCACCACGGTGCTGCTTCGAGCTGTTAGTTGCACGCTCAAACAGAACTCTAAGAACTTCACCGTCTTCAATGTAGAGAACCACCTAAAGTCTTGTTCCATTATCGATGGGATTGTGTTAAGGACGACGAGTTTAACTAAATTCAAGTAACAATAGGTACTTGTGTATTCGTCTGTTTTTGTTTCCGCTATGCTTTTAAAAATCTTGTGTACTCTATACATAATTTATATTATTTTATTTTTGAGTCTTTTCGACTCGCAAATGAAGCTAATTGGAAGATCTTATTCGCAGCTATTTTTTCATGAAAATATCTTTTATGTGATATATATATATTAGAGGTATTAGATGAAATAAAACCTATTGTTAAAAGAAATAGAGAAAATTATTTAATTCTATTCATGCCAATGCATCTACGTCGCGAGTGCACAAGTGCACGTTGCAAACGGCAGCAAAGGAATTTTCCCGAGATCTTCCTGCGAGATGCACTTAGTAAGCTCATTCATATTTTATGGGTAGAGTAAGACCGGGGGTCGTTCTCGCTGCGCGTTTATCCGTCTGTACTGACGGATATCACCCGCCGTTCTTCAATGCGCGGCAAATGGTCAGAAGCAGGAAATAGAGAGAGTGGCAGATCCCAGGAGCGTTTTCGACGACCAAAGACGCATATAAACGACTTTAGGGATGTAGTACAAATGTAAGCCATCCGCGGACGTAGAAATTGCTCAAATATTCAGTGAAAATGGCGTGACGGTACGCCGGTTGCTTATCTTTTGGGGACAAAGAAGGATTTATTTTGTGTCACATTTAACTTCTGTCAAATGAGTCAAGGAGCGCCTTGGTAGAATCTTTTTTTCAATATAAGTATGTACAATAGTTTTTGTTTTACATAATGGAAAAAAATTGTAATAATAATCGATTATGACTCTAAATTTAATGCAATTAAAAAAAAAGATAAGATTTAAAAAATGGACATAAAATAATATCAAAGTATATTATATATGTACAATACAATATATATATATATATATTTTTTTTTTTTCATTTGAATTTTAAATTTATCCTACGCACTGTAGGGTAAGTTTCGTCCATATTGTTGGAAACGAAAAAGTATTACTAACTATGATGGATGATGCGATTATGTAACAAATATACTCTTGATTCTTTTACAATGAGTATTTCGTGTCACGTTTTCATGATGCTTTAACGGCATTCTGTAGATTCGCATTTTATTCCACGTACAGAACGTAAGGTAGAAAATCCCGGGTTCTGGTAGGCGATTCCGCGGACGTGCACGATTAAAAATTCATAGAAAATCTTCGTGTCGGTACAATTTTACGGAATCTTGGATTTACCCAAGCTTCCGGAGAAGTTTGATTGCATTAGTCCGATTGTGTATTGGTATGGGAATCGCTTAAAACTTTCGTGATCGCGCAGAAATTGTCTCGATATACCGATAAAAATAAATATAAATTATTGAAAGAAAAAATATATTTTATTTAAAATTTTTTAAAAAGCGAAAGATTTCATTATTTCTATTATTGCAAAATTAAATTTCTTTCCTCTACAAAATTTTAAAAACGCAAAGAAATTATCACGATTTTTCTCGGCATTCAAATGTATTATCGTATTGAAAGGATTAAAATGCAATTGCATGTAACTTTCTCGTGGGTTGCAGCTGAAATTTACAATTATTAATGTACACGAGAGAGAAAGCGTTAACCGTGACGAATTCTCTTTTGTTCCTAAAAAGCCCGCCGCTTCTAACGGCCGAAGCCACTTTCGTTCTGCCATTCGGGAAAATACCAAACGACGTGCTTTCCAGACGTTCGCCGAAAGCCACAGCATGCTTTCGCGGGGAGGAGAAGAGGTCAGAAGGGAGGGCTATGCAACTGCAGCTGAAACGGAGCACTTCCGTCGACGCGCGGAATTTACATCGTTCGCATATTCCGCGACTCGTCGTCGGTCCTTCTCGTAGTCGCCAATAGAACCGGAGCATCGTGACAAGACGAGAACGACTGGTTTTAGAGTAAAAACGACGTACGGGTGAATTTCGATAGCAATCCATTTTTAGGAAATAAAAATACACGAATAAAATAATCTCATATTATTTTCAACAATCGCACAGTATGCGAAATAAAGTGTAATTTATTGATACTTAATAACTTTTAATTAATATTATAAAAGAGAAACAAGTATCGTATTACATAATATGTTAATGCGTTTAATTAAAATATCAGTGAAATCAATGTAGAGGAAATTTTTATTCGCTAAAAAAATTAAATTTGAAAAAATTAAGAAAAGAAAATTTTATTCGGAAAAAATATAAAATTGCATTTTTAAAACAGAGATTAAATTAGATTAAATTTTGTGAAAGATTCCTCGGAAATTCATTTAATTACACACTCTTTGGATTACTTGTTTTGCAACTGAAAAGGGAAACTTGACTGCGGACAGCGTTCGTGATTTTTGCACAGAGTTCTAATATTCTCGTAATACTTGAAGAAAATATGCAAACGACTGTCACGACACCTCCTTTATTTTTCAGAGATTTGCAATTCAAAATCTGCACAATTAACTTTTGCTTTTAACTTATAAACAGATATAACCTATGCTTGCTTTTCGTCGTCGAACTTTAATTAATAATAATCAAATAAAATCAAAATCTTGATATTTCGCGACGCGTTTAAAATTTAATAATACTTCAAAATTATATTTTATTGTCGACAACACAAATAACATCGTAATTCATGTTCCGCA